CCAAAATAAGAGGATTTTTACCAACAACATTTCTTTACTTTTTTCAGACCTATAAACTATCTACTGAATACTCAAAAGATGTTGGATCATCAATTTTCTACGGAAAATCAGAATTCTCTTATAATACTAATCCAGACCATATCATTAGTTTGTCCACCAAACTTGAAGATGTTGCTCCGACTCAGAGCGGTAAAAACTACAGTTTGTCTCTGCAACTGAGCCATCCGGCTACAGGAGTCAATGTAGAGGTGAATTCACATGCTGGCCGAGCTGAAGACAGAGTCTCAAGTGGTACAGAGGTGTTGTACCTCGCTTCTGACAAAACGGCTAAGAATTTTGCTTTAAGAGGGGAAATTGATCGACTCAGAAAGACTTTGAATTTTGAAGTAAGTATAATATTATCTATGGAATTATTAGCTTGCTTCTTCATGATTTAGACCGAATATTCTATAGATTGGCAAATCTGACCAGCAATTAATTCTTTTTTTCATTTACCAAAATGCCTCAATAAAAGGATACATCGCTGATACTTAAATAATACCGATACCATTTGAATTTGTAGGTCATATCACCTATCAAGAGTGTAGAAGTCCGTGGTGAAGCAACACCTGGTATACCAATGCGACTAAGACTTCAGAATACCTATGATCAAACTAAACACGTCACAGCAGACCTCTTGTTCGACAGTAACAGAAAGGAAATGGATTTCACTATGAACTACAATCCAGGTTCGTCAAATTACCTTTTTTTCTTGGTAGAACGTACGCCTTTTTATATTTTCAGAGCTATTAAGCGGGCTGACAGATCTTGTCTATTTGTGCACAAAATCAGTTTCACAAAAGCTTATATTTTCCATTGCAGTGGGGGAGTCGCCTATCAATCAGATTATTTTGAAATTCATTAAGGTATCCTAACGTAAGTTATTGTGAAATAAGGATCTAGACTCGCTTACACTCTTGTAATTTCAGATGATCCCCATGCCTTTATCAACATCAATGGTCATTATATCAACTCCACATTTATTCAGGCTGAAATCTTCCGACAACGAGGTTCAGAGAAATTCTCAGCAGGGTCTGTAGCCATTAGACTGAACAATTCCCATGTCTTACATAGCAGATTCTTGTGGAGTCCCAGCATTATTCCAGAGTTACAGGTAAACAGTAATAACAGATTAGACAGTAATAACTATAACTGTAATAGATAACTGATGGACTGCTCACTGACGGCTATCTCACAGTTGAGTATTAAGGTGCAACGCAAGAACCCTACTACAAAGTGCAAGTAAGAGGAAACAAGCTCAAATAAGGTTAAACAAATCAAACCTTAGTACGCACATTGTCTACTTTACTTTCAAAAGTAACTGAAACCAAAAATCAATTGCTTTGGTCAAGGATTTGATCACAGCAAAGCTTTCGATGAGTTGAGTTTTTGTGAGCTCTTTTGTGGTGATCAGGGCTTGAATACAAGTTATAATTAAAATAAAAATACGAAGATGTAATAGTAAAACATTCATAAAGATAAACAGAAAAGAACTTCGCTTTTCATGACGAAGTACTAATGTTCTTTACCAAAAACTGTTTTGTTTTTCAGCAAATGATATCAAACAAGATTCAGGTCTCTACCTATGCTATGAACAATTTGTATAATGGTGCTGCTCACGCTGTTGGTAATGAAGTGAGGATGAAGTTTGTTACCATCAGTAATGAAATCAAGAATGAATTGGCTCCCATTATGACTTTTGTGGATGTAGAGATGCAATCAATGGAAGGCCAGTTAAATATCATTGGAAGAGAGTTGAAACGATTCTATGATCGTAATGATCTACATATTAAAGATATGAGTAGAACCCTGAATGAACTGTTCGATGAAGTCTTGTAAGTACTCAATTGAATCTGTACGTATATGCAAACGTTTTGAATATATTTGGCATTCTACAAATTACATTCAAGATAAGTTAAGGGACACAAATTTTAGTCTGTAATTTTCACCAATCCGAGCACCTAACTTACTTAATTAGGTCGCCCCTTTTGTCATCCTTGGACAAGATTGTGGTTGATTGCGTAGTATGTATTATTTTTATGTCATATACACATGTAAACGAATAAATTCTTGTTGGTTATTTTGTTTACCAATCTTCTTCAGTGAAAAGCAGGCAATGCCAGTACATCATATATAGGTTATCAGCGTAGCCGTTTTCTGTCCATGATCCACATTTCTGTTTTTATTTTAACATAATCTCAATTTTATGGTTTAAGTCTTCATTTCAAGCAATATTTTACTGTGTATATCAAATTGATCACGTATTTATTTCCTGATTACTGCACTGTTATACTCAAGCATGGTTTGAGATGTTATGATCATATGTTATATGTTTCTTGATTACAGTGTTGCTTATACAGAGTTATTAGGAGATTTAAAGATAGCTTATAAACAGATGGACGAGGTAATGGATGAAGTTAGTAATGTTATACAGAGATACCCCATCAAAGAACGATATCAAGAACTTGTCCAACGTGGTATGGGAATGATCAGGGTAAGCTTATTGAATCATATGATGTTAAACTATACGATATTACACGTCTTTCTTAGAAATCTGTGTAAGAACGACACATAGATTTTTATGATATACCTCACACTTCTGTAACACAGCAGCAGTGGCTGTGCCAGTGGGGTACAGAAAAATAGTTTGTACCCCCAATTGCAATATGTGTCAGAAGGCATCAGATCAATTTTATTTTTCAAAAATGTTCTTGCCTATGCGCTGTTACATAGCTGTCGCATTTTAAATCCCATCCTCGACACTTGTCCCCCTAATCTCGGGAGCTAGGCACCGCCACTGCAAAGCAGTTCTTTAGGGGATTTCACATACATACCTACCTATACTGTTTACCTGATATAGATTAAACCTTTCCGTTACGTCAAATCAATCATATCAAAGTACTAACAAACATCATGTCTGTCAATTCAGAACCCAACTATTAAAGAAGGAGGCGTGCTTCACTGCAATATTATAACAAACTGAATATCCTCTTCATAACTTTTCATATTCCAGAAATACCAACAAATGGTAACAGCTCAAATCAACGACCTGATGTACAAATCAGATGAATATTCGGCTGCTTTGTACGCTAAATACCGAGCTACAAGGAGATATCTACAACGCAAGTTACATGGTGAGTTAGTGATAGCTTAACCTTTAAATATAATTTTATTCGCTGTTGACTAAAATAACTTGAGCAGTTGACAATTGTAAATAGAATACTGTGGTCGACTCAATATTCTTTCTGAATTTTCTGAGCAATTCCTTGATATATTTCATGGTACTCTTGGTGCAACTTCCTTCCCATATGTTTTATGTTCTATGGAGATCATATTCAACACTTGCCTCTTTTAGCATTTGTCAGTTACATTTGGCTCTTGATTAACAATTTGAAATAATTATGTATTGATTAATTCTAGAAACCACAAGAATGGTCACCGAGCATCCACAGTTCAAACAACTAAGACAGAAGTATGAAGAGATGAAGAATAGAATAGACTATTTCCCTGATGTAGATTTTAATAAAATAGCCGGAGCTGTTGATAGTACCATACAGTCATCCTTATCACCTCATATAGTAGATACTTACAAATCTATCGTCTACAACACAAAGTCTGTTATTCAAGCTCAGTTCCACGATCTCATGAAACAGAAGGAGTTTAAACAGATGTATGATTTATCAAAGGATATACATGCAAAGGTAATCAGTTCTGTACATTTCACGTTTCAAGTCCGATTGTGGTTGGTTATCTAATCTAATCGACAACAGTGGTTAAATACACAAGAACACTATTATGGATATACTACTCCTCTCTTTAATTTCTGCAACGTTTCAATTCACATACAAGAATCTTTATCAAGCACAAACTAATAATGATGACAACAGTGGTGTTTCTACGCCCCTGTCCGGGCTTTGGCCCCCAGTTTCAAATTTCTGGTGCTCTAAGCCCCAGCCCCCTTTTGATCATTCTCTGACCCCTACTCGACTCTACCTAATGATTCATAGAAATACCACTGATCTCAAATAAAAAGTAAATGTTGACTTGATATGGCACTAGTTAGATTCTCTGCACATATCGAATTTTAATTGCGACCAATATATTTCGATGATATCGAATTTGTGAGCCGAGGTCATTCATGGAAGCACATCTTAACGCCAATGAGCTTTGGTCAAGAATTATTATCCATTTCTCGCTAAGTGTATATTTTACTATGGAGCTATAAGTGCTTCACTTGTCAACTTCCAGTGAAAGTAAATGTTTCCCACGTGGTATGGTATGTTTCTTTTTAGGCTGTTTGGGTATATAAATACATGGATGTAGACAAGAACTTCAAATACGCCATGATGAAAGCATACGATCTTACTAAGGAGATAGTTTTTGAAGAACTCGGTCAACTGAGAGAAAGTCTGATGGATTTGAAGAAGTCACGAATGATTTTATTTGACACTGAACGTGGCGAGATCCAATTCGACTTGTACCTACCAATTCCATTGAAATCTCTGCAAGATCCACCACATCTGGGTGTCAAGAGATGCTTCAAAAAGATTCAGAACTTCGCCAATAATTACTTGCCTACCAAAAACTCCACTTTCTGGGATGTGTATTATAATAGCAGATTTGGTACCCACGGCTACAAATCGTGGTTACCACCATTCAGAGGTACAGTGTCTAAATATTTTACGTCTTAAACTACATGGGCATACATTAACCTTGGTGGGTATTGACTATCGTTAACCGAAGACGTTAGATCTTTAAATAATCGGGACTGCTGTAGCCTCAAAAGCATGTTTTTCGGGCAAAAATCTCATAACTAGGTTAGAATGGATTAGATATTTCGCCCCCTTTCGGACGTAAACCTGGCTCCGCCACTTTCTTTTTCTAAAAACCCACAACAAAAGTGGTAGATTCATACAATTTTATGTTATATTTCAGCCCATGCTTCCGTCATTGGTACACAACATTTTGTAACATTTGATCAACGCCATTTTGATTTCGCTGGTCGATGTAGTTATGTTTTAGCTAGAGATATGGTTGATGATAATTTCACTGTGGTATTGAACTTTGATAAGAACTCTGAACCTAAATCTATTGTGGTCTTACTCAAAGGATTGACTGTTGAAGTCAACAATGAAAACAAGGTTAGAAATTATGATATTAGAGATGGGCGTTTCAGCTGAAGTCCATGTAATATGTATTCAAGATTTCTTGTTTACAAGGAACTAATGAACTATAATGTGAAAACTTCAAAATGGAACGATTGCAATTTCACTCGAATATTATTGACCTTTTCATACATTTTAAAGGTTATCCACCATCATCTTTAATTCACTCTACACGTTGGAATAACGTAATCCATATAAATGACTTAATGCCACTACTGGTCAACTCTTTGCTAGGATGTCTCTTTGCTGCCACTTCCTATTGGCAAATTGATTTGTTTGTATCTTATATATTTCTCTTAATCTAATTGAAAATAATTCATTTTTTCCCTGTTTACAGGTTATTGCCAACGATCGACAAGTCGAGTTACCATTTGTCAGCGAGTCAGTGTCTGTTGTAAATAATCATGGTATCATCACCATCACCAACGGCCATGGTTTATCTGTAGACTGCAATACAAAACATGAAATCTATACCATTGGCTTACCGGGATGGTACTTTGGCAAGGTCGCTGGATTATTGGGAACGTTTGACAATGAAGCCTTTAACGATATGACCACTGCAGAACACACGATGACCACCAGCGTCCAACAATTCGCCTCCTCGTGGGAAATTGGAAGAAGACGATGTGTTACTGACAACATGGCTAAATATGTGAAAGCAGACGATGAACCCGAATGTATCAAATTATTCACTGACGATAGTTCACCATTTAGACCATGTTTTAAACAGGTGAGTCCACCATCTGGTCTTGCCTAAAATTGTTATACTTTGTGTCTTTGAGGTTTTATTAGGAATCGACTACCAGTGATGACTTGAAGTCATTTGGAACGTCATTTTTTTTCTTGACGAATAGTTAATTGTAATTACGTCCCTTGAAGCTACAGACCACAGCTATTTTTCGAATATCAGTTTATAGTGTATCTTTATTCTGTTCTGATTGCACCACTTTTTTTACTAATACAATTTATCTTATAGAATAGTTCTGATGTAAGCATTATTTATTTTCAGGTGAAACCGGAATCATTTAAAGATATCTGTAATATTAATGCTAAAAGAATGAAGTATGGTGTTTGTAGGTCAGCTAGACAATATGTTGGAGAATGTAGAAATAGAGGTGTTTCAATCAATATGCCTGATGATTGTAGTAAGTTCTTGTTATTTTTTCAACACGACATGATACCTTTTTTACCGTATATTCTGCATATACCTTCATTTATATGTTTTAAATATCAATTGTTATGTTTTGTGTATGTATATTGAAAATAAGAATATGCTTTTAATGAACCAGGTATGTTGACATTGTAATGAATAGGTGGATAGTAAACTTAATTCTAGATCTTTAACGATTACACAATGACCTAACGCAAAAAATTAACCTTATATTTTCAGTTATGTGTAATGGTCCAGAAGGAGAATTTAAACAAGGTACTAAAATAGAATTTACACCAGAATCCAAGAAAACAACACCTAGTTCAGCTGATATTGTGTTTATAGTAGAAGAAAAGCAGTGTAATACCGACCCAGTTAGAGTATTACCTAGAATTGTTACTCAGTTAGAAAATGATTTACACAAATACGGTAAGAACGAATAGAATGGGGATATATTTTGAAAAGTGGGAAGGAGGCATGAAGTGAGTAGTTGTGTAAAAATGTCTGCTCTTCTAAATAGGTTTTTGGACGTAATAACACATCCTTACCCATAATTCGGTGATTCTGTGTGAAGTCTTTTTTCTATAAAATTGCGATCACATATACCTTACATATCTAGTCAATTAGCACCCCCAACCCCCCCTCCCCTCCCCCACCTAGATCACCTCTGATCCGTAACTTATCTATTATTTTTAGGTATTAAGCACAGTCGATATGGACTGATTGGTTATGGTGGAGACTATCCTCTTGATAAAGAACATGTTAACACCATGGAGAGTGGAGAGTTTGCTGATGCCACTGTATTCCTGAAAGGCACAGAGAATCTGAGACTCAGCAACAGTACCTTGAAAGCTGATAATCTAGCTGCTATAAGACTTGCTACAGGATATCCATTTAGAATCGGCGTTTCTAAAATTTTGGTTCTTCTTCCCTGTTCAGTGTGCACGTTTGACATAAAACATCTTGATATGGACAACCTTCTTCAGACTCATGGTTTTAATCTACATATTGTAAGAGATGAGAATTTCACCCTACCTGAAGATGGTATGTTTAAAGGGACAACCGTTTATGGTAGGTTTATGACCAATCTTAATTATTATCACCCTTAACATTATGAAGTCTGTTAGGGAGTAGTACAATCCATAAGGCAAAGGGTTTTTTTATAGTTAGAAAATAAAAATTTCGATCAGCCCGCAGTTCAAATTTCTCATAAAGACAAATTTCAGTATCCCTTTGCTGTTTATCATTGTGGATTAAAGTATCATGTAGGTGACCGAATGCATTGCAAAGTTTCCTTACCGTCTCCTACCATGGTAATAACCCAAGGGAATAATGATAGTAATATGGTTATTATTATCATCACAATAATCAAACTGTTCTCCGTCCATTCAGGAGCTGAACCATCGTTGAACATGATTGTATTAAAAGAGTCGCTCTTAATATCTTGTTTCATGCCTTGAGACATATTCTGTCAGGCTTTTAATGAAGACCCGTACCATTGTCTATTATTCAAAATACCATATACATTGTAGGAGTTGATTCCAATAAAGTCCATAGCACCAAAGAAGAAACAGAAAAGGAATTATTCAACGCAATGTCCAAACCTGTAGATATCTGTGCTGGATTAGCTCTCCATACAAATGGCAGTATATTTGCTGTCTCTAACCTCGTAACCAAAAGAACCAGGGTTCAGAGAGATGCTATCTCTACATTCGTCGGTCGAGTTAAAGAAGGAGCTAAACCACCATCATGTCAAATTTGCGAGTGCAAGGCCGATGATCAGATGAATGGTAGAACAGTTTGTAGACCTTGTGAACACAGCTTTACATTATGGGATGTAAGTACATAGCTTTAAATTAGGGGGTATAAGTAAATAGTTTGACGCTATCGGGTGTAAGTACATAGTTGGACATTATCGGGTGTAAGTACATAGTTTGACATTATCGAGTGTAAGTACATAGTTATACATTATCGGCTGTAAGTACATAGTTATACATTATCGGCTGTAAGTTCATAACTGAACAGTCTTAAGAATAGAGGACCTAATATTATAGGATATATGACCTGTATGGCTCATTCTATGCTAGAATCTTGCAAAACACTTTTGGATATAGGTTCCCAGTATATATATCAATATTGTTGTTACTTATCATGTTCTTGCTCATTTCAGTACTTGCCAAAATGGTGGATCGAACCTAACACCACAGAAAGGGGCATTTTTGAAGAGCAAATACAGGTATGGTGATATGATATGAGTGGTATAAGATAATCGGTAACCTATCAAATTTGGCCATGCCCGTTAGGAAGTGATATACAGATGGGATCTCGTCACGGTTAGGGCCAGTCTCAAAAAGTCACATTGAATGGAGTTGCTCCGATCCATTTTTTGGATTGCTGGTTTTTGAGAATATTCTCTGTGACAAAAGCCACATTTGGCAAATGTTTTTGTATAGCTATAAAGCTAAACCATGAAAGAATCCATCAAGGCATTTCCGGGTATTTCCGGTCCCAATACAATTGAGGGGTAGGCTTAACGGTTAACGGCTCTTGCTGTAATATACTTTGAAGGGAAACCTGTAACCCAGTAAGATGTGATTCCATATTGTAACGTTTTTTTTTTATTTCAGGGAATTTTTGACGCAGTTAAGAAGAGTAAATCATTAGATAGTATATCTGTATAAATAGAGTGATTTGTTAAGTTCATTTTATCACAATTATATAGTGAATAGTTTTAATCATAAACTTTATATTCATTGATAGTATTAGTTTTACGAAAAGTTCTAATGAATATGCTTAATTAGTTTCTATTATAACTTGTTTAGATTGTAATCAATTGTAAAAGATTTAGATACTATTTTAACCCTTTATGTGTTCGTTATAAATTTTAAGCATAACCAAAAACATTCTTAATCAATGCAAATTTCACGATAAAAATAATTCTTTTGTATATATTATATTTGCTTATGAAACAATTTGTAATTGTATATATTTGTCTTTTTGTATTTTATTTACAGATTTTCAGAAAAAATTTTTGAAATGATAAATAATACGTTATATTTGGATATTTTTCAACATCGAAGTCGAGTGGGGGCAATAACTATAAATTCCCAAACTGTCAAATATCAAACTCGTCCGAGATCTCGCCTATATACAGGTGTAATCATGAGTCAATTATACCTCTATCGCGTCTACAAGCCAATTTTGAGCGCATGCAAACCAGAATAATCTTGAAATATTAACCGAAATTTTGGATATCTGTGTATATGATGTACTATTTTTGAATTGTACATCTGGAACCTACTTCCCCATTGATACATTTCTGCACTTTTCTGTGCGTAACCCACAACCGGCTTGACACAATTCCCCTGCCGTAAGATATATATAAAATCATAACAGGTCGTGTAAAACCTTAATGGGCCCTCACACCATAACAATCACCAGTTGCGTGTATGGTTACGAATAAGAATAGCGGCCATAAATTTCGAACGTAACTTTCATGCAATTGTGTTGTGAGTTGCGTTCGATACTCATGATCACTTTCACTATTCGCAACCATACGCAATCGGTAATCACTATGGTGAGAAAAACCATATTTGGAAGATTTTTTAATCATATAACATAGTAAATCATATATAATAAGGTAATTACTGTCGCCGGCAAATAGCCTATTGTATATAACTATTGTTAAGGGGGTTGAAAACTGGACTTTCTTGTATTCATACCTATATAATGTCAATACCTTTATTGTACAAAATGACTTTTTAACTCATTACCCTAACCTTGTCACAAGTCAATAACTAAACCAAATATCATATTTTCTCGTAGTGAACTTAGAGGAGACGTAAGTAATCCATTTTGAAAGTTACCTTAAGTTTTGGGATTTGAATTTGGAGATCACGTATAGGACCACATTATTTTTTGAAAAATTCGTAAATGTTTGGATTTTGAGATAACGTTTAAGACTGAGGTACGGTAATTTATCATGCCACACCTATTTAAAAGACTTGGATATTCTTTCATTCTTTATTCGAGGGGGTGGGCTGCTATAGAAATATTTGCTTTACTTGTTGATAGAGCCAGTAATTTACCCATTTTTTGTTTGAAGTAGGCAATCCATTACATCTGGAAGTGACAATGATGGCTGAAGGTTATAAATATAGCTCTATCAGTGAGTTATTATATTTATTAAAGTCTATCCGTTAAAGGTGGAAAAGCCTTCTTATACAGTGAATAAAAATATTTCTATTGGGCAGATTTAGTCTAATATAAAAAACAAATCCTGTATTTATTAGATATATCTTATTGCAATCGTTCGTTTTTTTTATCTAATATCAAAGATAGGGTTTTATCAATGGGAGCGAAAGACGTTAAAAATATTTTTATTAGATTTAATATCTTCAATAATGTGTGGATTATTCTTATGACTAACAGTTTTATCTACGTATGTTCTTGGCGGTAACTTGAAACGTAATAGAAAGCAAGTGTTTAGGGTTTTCGAACAGGCAATTGTCAATTCTGACCATAGAGAGCTGAAATTGTACATAGTTTAGTATCTCGTGGTCTTTTTTGGGACATAGAGGATACCATTGTACCATGTAAGATACTGCAATTTCTAGTGGAACAATTTAACATCACCGAATTTCCTTTCAGAACTAGCTCATATCAAATCCTGGAGATCTTAATGTAAGTGCTTCATCAACATGGTACCGCAACAGATAGTGGTTGGTTATTCCTGGAAGGATTATATAGCAGCTTTACTTGAGAAAGGACATGCCTCAAAGGCTGCTATTCATAGTTGTGGTGAAGGGAAATTATGGGCTGGATGTTTAGCTTTTGATATTAGCCGTGAAGAGGTGCTGGAGATCGTGGACGGGTTCTCTGATTCCAGTATATTACGACAATACGGTATTAATATCAACGGTAAGCGATATACGTTGACTAGAATCTCTGAAGGAAAAATAATGGTAGGTCGAGACGTCTTCAATGGTTCAGGATGTGTTATATATAAATGTAACACATGTGTTATTATTTGTGTTCACGATGAAAATATGTCACTCGGTGGGTGTTATTCGGTTGTAGAGAGAATTGGAGACTTTTTGTGTAATAAGTCATTTTGATGAACTAATGGACCCTCTGAATTTGGATGCATGTTAGATTGATATCTTCTTGGCGATGGTGTGCTATACTCCACAAGAAAATAGTTGCTAACCCGAACGTAAATTTGATAGTCGATGTACATGTGCTACCAAATTATATGAGTAATTTCACAGTTTCACTCATCAGGATAGTCAGGTGCGTGATTCCACAGCAACAAGATGGGATAGGTCTAAACCTTTTGTGTTACTTTCATAGCAACGTGATATGATGTGAAAACAATAGAGTGCTCCTCTACTGCAATGCGGGGTGAACCTTTTGTGTGATTCCACAGCAACATACTATGATAGATGTCAACCTTTTGTGATTACAGAGCAACATGTTAGGATAGATGTCAAATATTTGTATGATTCCACAGAAATATATTAGGATAGATGTCAACTTTTTGTGTGATGTGTGATTCCACAGCAACATATAAGGATAGATGTCAAATTTCTGCGAGATTCCACAGCAACATATTAGGATAGATGTCAACTTTTTGTGTGATTCCACAACCACATAATGGTTGAGTGGTCACCTACTGTCATTTTGTATTTTTTCATTTTTGAATAAAGATATGAATATGAATAACCATTTTATCAAAAACAATATTCATCTCATAATCTATCCCAAATTATTTCCTTGAATGATTATTAATTAAAGGGTGTGGTTTTAACAACCCTGAGTGTAATAAACATTTGGAAAGCTCAAATACAACGACTGACTGCCATGTCACTGTTTTCATAAGATTGACTGCCATTGTTCTCGTCTGTTAACATGTGACATATATCGAAAATAACACTGCCTTCAACCATTTCCTATTAGTTCTCATTTATTACCTATCACATTTGATTAAAACAAAACCATTGATTTGCCCTTTGGCTTCTCTACTCAGCCTTTATCTTGTAATTATAACAGTAGCAAGGAAAATCGTTAGACGAACTGATTCTAGTTTTAAAGCAAATCGTGCCTAATGGTCTAATCACTGATGACTTTGAATAAATTATACCTTTAGTTTCTTATTCAAGAATAATTGTTCTATAGTCCAAGAATTGGGGGAAATACACACACGAAAGGGTAAGTAGGTTTATATTTCAGACAGATCTATATTGATAGAAAGTATGCATGTGTGAAAGGGTTCAACAGAAAATTCAATATTGCGAAACCTTTTGCGTTACATGCTTAATTGGATGAATGACCTTCCACCTAAAAAGTGAGAAAATTTGTAGACGTGCCGAAAGGTTTTCGGATAAACCGACATTTTTATACGAGTGAATATTTGTTTCACCATTGAACATTAGGCCTACACAAGACAAAATATTACCTTATGCTCCATCTTGATCTTACAATTTGGATAGTTCACATTGTAAAAATGTTAAGGTTTTAAGTATCAAAATCACGATATTACACAAATAGAATGTCTGTCTTCAATCCAATAGTAGTCAAATACAGACGGTGGTATACACAGTCCAATCAGTATTCAAATACAGACGGTAGTATACACAGTCCAATCAGTATTCAGATACAGACGGTCCAATCAGATGCAGAAAATTAGGACGCAAAACTCTATTCCTTTCACAAATCGTGTGAATTTGTTATTAAAAAACATCTCGGGTTAAAGTTCCCAGGATCGAAAACAATCACCTAATCTCATCAACTCTTCATTACATTTGGCACCATCGTCAGAAATACTGTGGATCCAGACACAAATTAGACTCCCAGTTTTACAGACAGAACATCCTACAGAACCACTTGTAGCGTAAATCCCAAATCGTCCGTCAGCAATGACAACCTTAAAGTTAACCCCATTCACTGTTATTCCTGACCGAGTTGCCAGGGTCTCATCGTGTACTTTAGAACAAATATCACGCAGTTCACTCGGAGGAATATTGAATCCGTCAGTAGAAGAAATCATTTCGCCATTTCTGTACTCAAAGATGGCGGCACCAACATTTGGGTTGACGCAACTGTCACACTTTTGCTGTCGTACATATTTATTAACGAATCCATTCCAAGCTGATATTATGTACACTTTTCTTTCGTTTTTGTCTGTTTTCAATTTCATCACTTTCTTGGCATCTTGAGCTCGTTTTTGGTCGCCTGTTGTTTCCATGTTTATCAAGTTGTCGTGTGAGATATTGCAGGTTATTCAATTGGTAGCCTTTTCTGTATATTATTGTATAATCAATTGAAATGAATAATAGTAAATGTTATACCTATTGAATGATTTCTATTGAACACTAATGGTTATATTGCACAATGTACTATTATAACTGCAGGTATATATTTGTATAACACAATAGTCATTTTATTGAACATTGGTAATCATTATACTAATGGGCCTTGAGAGGGTTTTTGAACTGTAATGCTGTCATGTCATAGGCGTTATTAGATAACGTCCATGTTTTAATACTCGATAGGCAGATTGAGTTGTACGGACCGCATTTCGAAATTAGATGCCATTTTAGGTACTTACAACGAACTAATACATTTACATGTACAATGAAATAAAAACTGAAACCTGCGTGTGACGCCAGTAAACCTGTAAATATTATTTTCATTGTGATATTAATTTCACGATTATAATGCCGTCATTACTTTGATGACAATTCTTATTTTATTTAATTTTAGACAGAAACGAAGTCAGATTTTCCTTCTAAAAGGTAGGACTAAGTTTAGAATCGTTACTACAAATCAACTAATTCAATTCTAATAATTCTGTAGCTTGTTTATTCCTCTATCCATTTAAATATTGCCAAAAAAGGGACCAGCCCTTGTATTCATTCAATCTGTCGAAGACTTGTTTTAGGAACAACTAATACAGCATTACGCACTTGGTAACGCGAACCTATAAAGAACATGAACTTCGTATATCGAACGCATCACTACATAGTAATTATGATGTTTTTCGGCTGTTAAAAGATGTCGTTATTGGTAGTAACTAGAGTTATCTTTCTTAGCGCACCTGCATTCGTAGATGGCAGTGCGTATGGATTCTGCAAAGGAACTAAAAATTACCTTTCTAACCTTAATGCTGACGTTTGGAAGGCCAATACTATTCTAAATGTCCTTTCATAGAAGAATAATTAATTGGCAGTAAATGAATCAGGTAAGCTGCAAAATGCGGACAGTCTGAGATCGGGCAAGAGACGTTGTTGTTAATGTCAAAAGAAGAGGGGGGGGGGGGGGGAGCATCAGGAATGCTTATTTCGACGAATTGATCAACACTCTGCTGAACCCCCAGAGTATTCGATATTGAACCCTACAGATCCCTGTCTTTTTCACTGTTACATTTGCTTTGAGTGGGAAAAGAAATGAAGCTGATATTGAGACAGACAGTTCACAGCTGTCTTTACCTTTGAGATTCACTTATGACTTACAACTGAATAACGGCGCGGGTAGTATCATCAAAATAGAGATTTTTACTTGGACAGATTGCTTTTGTTTTTTTGACATTTTGTATTATTTGATGATTATATCCTTTTGTATATTCCAGTTTTTATATTCATAGTTTTTATCATGGAAACCAATACCAATGAATCACATGGAGATAAACAGTCTGAGAAACTTCCTGATATGGATACCTTAAAGGTAAGCTTATTTGTTTCAATACTTAAGTAAGCATTTTCACTCATTTTTGTTAATAAGTCAATTTATCTTTAAAGCTTTAAGATCTTAATTTGAGCCATTTGACCTGTTCTCGAATCACAACAGAACTGCAATAGTTACTAGAGTTGATAGTTGAGACTCTTGTGACATAATATTCGACCCAGTTAATAGCTCAGGTCTGACATAGTTATTTAGAGAGTCAAACAAGAACAAGTTTCATAGACGGTTTTGAGTGATTTAATGATACATTTTTAATTTTTAGCAAATAAAACCAACTAAAGAAAGTGTTTCTAGTTTAAATGGGAAGAAGAATTTAAAAGGAAAACCAAAACCCTTATATTTTTGGACGAGTGCTGATGTCAATAAATGGTTGAGGAAGCATGGTGGAGTGTGTTATGATTTATATGGTGATATGTTGTATCAGAATGATGTCACAGGTAAAGATAAGACATTTAGATTACTCAAGCCCTCAAACCCCACACTATAGGGCTAGGAAATATCACAGTAAACACTAGGGCTGAGTTTCGATTACCAAATTGCGATTGATTGTTGACGGCATAATACTGATTAATAATCAAAATACTTTAAGTGAGAAATGTTATAAATACTAAATAAAAGTCATATAAGGCCAAATATATTGTGCTAGCATAGGTGATGTGGAAATGAATTCAATTGACCTAGTTGTTCCCTAAATTTCTCAAAGTAACTGGCACTTTGGTCCCCTTATTTGTCTATTTTTTTCATGCATTATTTTCATCATCTTATGTCACCTTGACCCCTTCCACACTGAATTCACTATATATGGTCTATATGAATAAGAGAAGATATGAAAATAATTATTGCTTGGGGACATGGCTGACATTTATTTAATTACATTATTTATGTTATGTTATATTTATTTGAATGTTTATGGGTTTCAGGTAGAACATTAATTAAAATAAATGAAATAAAATTAGAAAAGATTGGAATAACTGATGTTACACATAGGTAAGATTGTCAATATTTAATCAGGAGTGAAGATAGAATTGGAAGTGTAGTTATTTTATTTTCATAAGTGGCAAAGATGTGGAGATAGTATGTCATTCATGGCTTCCGAAAGGATTTATTTTCATAATATTTGTATGTTCCCTTCCCAGTTTAGCCACCATCGTGCAATGTTGCAGTGAGTGAGGAGAATATTGTCCTTACAATCTAATTTCAACAGATTCCATTCAGACCGTTTCAAGTTTTTAACCATACAATTTTCCTTTCAGAAAAGACATGATGCAGCACATCTTAAGATTAAGATTAAAACACGAGGTGACAGATTTGAAAAATCTGGGACAGAAAGGTGAGTTCATTGGTTCATTGTGAAATTTACAAAGCAATTTTTGTGGAATTATCTTAAAAATCACATGGGGAATACCACGGTAAGAATCAGGGGATCTAGCATAGTATCCTGATCTTTATGGGATTGGTTAGGAAAGTGTGTTGAAGGCAAGGGTCGTCAAGGTCATCAAGATTGTGTTGTAAGTTATGTACTTTGTTATTAAAGAAATGCATCAAACAATAATATATTACCTGTGTGTTTTGTTATATGTGCTCTTCGAATCTAAATGTTGTTCAATTTTAATACTAATTTTATTTTCAGGATCAGGGTTTGAATTGAAACTTCCAGAATCTTCTCGAATACCACAACAAGAAAAGACAGACAAATCTAGTGAGAAATAGTCCAACTGAAACATCGGTAGTGCCTCATTTATTTGCCTTATAAAGATTCCAGCTTATGCCATACAGGATGCTGATTTTACCCACCCAGGGGTCCATTCCATGGGATGCTATTAATGTGAATTATAGCTTCACAATAGATGTAGTAAACCATCCTGAATATTTTATTGTGTAGCTTTGTTTACCATGCTATGATAGGATAAGAGTGTTGGATTGTGAGAAGAGATCGTTTCCATGACACAGAAACTATCTTTCCAATAAGACTGTTGTTTCAAATGTAGACTGCTGAACATGTAAATTGGCTATGAGGGGTAGCTAGTTGGCTAGTTATTGGGCTGTATAGATTTGCTCCATCTTGGTCTGGAATATTTGACTGTAGACCTTCAAATTTGATACTGAAAGTATCCCCATCAGCAATTTTCCAATTTAGATACAGATATTAAGTTAAATGAAATTTACCAGATGATGGGTTGAGTATAAGCTTACTGCTTATTGTTTCAAAAAATAATGCTTTGTGGATGTATAGAAAAGTGGCATTTTTACTTCAACTTCTAAAATTTGTAACTGAAAATGCATTCCTACATTTGCTATATATTTATTGTCTATGTATAATGAGATCTATCTTGGAATATAACATATATATAATGTAATCAATGCAACTCGCATTTGACATGCAGGGTACTATAAATATGGTATCTTAATGCGTGCTTGACCTACGGAATATATTTCTATTGTAAATGAATATTTATTGTTGTTACTTTGTTAGAGTTATTTATATTATTTTTTGTTATTATCAGACATTGATTTTAAACAGTCCGGTATTATGGGATATATACACAAATATCTCTTGATGTTCACGTTTATCTTTATTAGTACCAGAATTTTAGCTGTTATAAGATGAATGGAAATTTAATTTTATATTTGAATTGAGTCGGAAGTAATTCCATGTTAAATTGATTATTTTTAAGATGGGTTCCCTTATTTTCATTTATGAAAATGCTAATGCTTATTTCAATAGAAGGTAGAGGTGTTCTAATGACTTGGAAAAATACCAGTTTGTCTCACATATCCACAATTAATTCATTTAATTAAATTAGAAGAGAATTACAAGCAGAATTCCAATGAGTGACAGATCAAGAAAGGTCAAAAAGTATTTATTTTTGTTTATCCAGACAGTATATACATGAACATTTATGGTTTAAACTCTAAAATTATATGCAATAAGAACATAATGATATGATTAATAACACATGATAATTCATTATCATTATCAAATAGTTCGATAACTAAAAAATAAGGAAAACTATCTTTAAAGATTGTTTGTTTCTATCTTTATTAATATTAAGAGTTGTTTAAAAGTAGAATTTTTATTAGACAACATGACAGATAAGTTTTAATATTTTGATGTTTATTAACAATACTATGTTTAACTCAATAAAATGATAAAGGAGAAGATAGATGTATAAACTTTTTTTATTATTTGATTTAAAAACAACTTTTATATAACATAATATTCTGATAATATAGAATCAGATTGGCAATTATATTTTAAGTAGAAGTGCAATATTCATTGAAATGAAACTATACAAATTATAAGCTTTTAATATGTTATCTCAAAGTGTTCTCTTTTAGACAATAATTTCTTATTTTCGTGTTAATTTGTGTTTGGTAGAAAGTCTTTTGTAAGATAAAATTTTGACATCAATGTTATCCAGAATACCCTGGTTCAATATTCGAGTTCCACTTCAATTATTAATGTGCTTGGTGTTCTTTCTGGCACTTCATGCCACTTCACAATTTGATTCCTCAACTCAGCATTCCTTTCAAAGAGTCCACAGAGGAAATGTTGTTTATTTGATATAGTACTATCGGCAAAATATACCATTTCTGAAATCTGTTTTATGTACATATGCTTTTGTATATTTGTATAAAATAGGATAAATAGTAAAGTATTTATTATAATGTATCTATCCTGGATGCTCTTACATTTCTCATTTATATCATATTAAATTAAATGAGAGTTTCACATTTTTTTTCACAGACTCTTAGAAAATGGTCTTGACGGAACATTTTGCCAGGAATGCAATAGCATAAAGACTGTCCTGATTCACAAACAAGGTAATCTGCAGGTACCATTTCCACCCATGCCATAAATTTTGTATAACATCTGAATTTTATGGGTCACCCAAAAATCCCCTTGTAAGGCGCGAACAGACAAGAACAGACAAGATACAGTGTGGGATTATCATTAGAGTAGAAGTGAATACACAAGGTACTGATTCAAAGACAATAAACTTCTACTGCATTAATAATCCCCAATAATACCTCTTCTGTTTTCACCTTTATTAAAATAAGGTGGTTCAAAAAACACACCCCATGTCTCCAAGATCCCTCAACCATTGGAAATCCAAATAAAAAAGCGCAGGCTAATGCTGCTGTCTGGGCAAAATTTCTCTCATTGCACCCTGCATGGTATTGCCTGTCTTCATTAGCCCACATGATGCAGAACAGTAGGACATCAAATTTAATTTTTTCCAAAAAAACACACCTAATGTAGTTGAGATTTCTTTTACTGATATACTTATGATCTAAGTATAATAATAATAATAAACAATAGACTAAAAATATAGTGCTGTATATATATAGAGATAACTTGATACCATATTTGTCCAATTAGCATCTCAACAAGGGGTCTCTATAATAAAAAACCTGCATGTTGTCTCATATTTGAAATTTATTTGAAGAAATTTTCATATTTGAAATACACTAGTGAATAAGTATTCACGTTTGGAATAAAGGCCACCTCTGAATAGAGTTTCAACATTTGGAATAATCCTTACAAAATTAATGCAGTATACTTGTAATAGACTTGCAAAGCGATTGCCATATTTGGAATATTCTTGTGAAAAACTTCCATTTGGAATATACTAGTGAAAAAAACCTCCATATTTGGAATATACCTAAATTAGAATGATCAGTTTCCATATTTGGAATATATCCTTGAATCATTTCCATATTTGGAATGTATCTATAAGCAGTTATTTTCAGCCTACAAAGATTGGAAGCATTTAAATATCGTGAAGCACTTTAATGAAGTTTTAAATCTAATACTTAACTATGGGTATGATGAGAAGTCACATTGCAGTATTTGCCCTTTGACCTCATGTTTACGACAGATATTTGATTAATTGCATATTATCATCCTAAATATTGATGCACAGCTATCTATGTGACAATAATTTAAAAAATAAAGCCCTAAAATTCATCAAGAGAAATCCCTTTCCTTGAGAAAGAGCAGCTGTCTTCTGAACTATACACAGAAAAATGTCTTTGTACCAGGTTAAATGGTCAAATATGGTAGTCAATTGGTCATATTATGATGGTCCACCAAAAAATAGGAATGTTAGTAAATTGATGATTTCCGCTTGAAACTATTCATCCTTTTTACCATATTTTAATATTCGTGTAAATTCCAAATAATTAAAATCTCCTTTTTTAATAGGTGCATCTCGGAACATTTCATCCACCTGAAAATGAAAATGGATGAAATGATAAATTTATTGGTTTGTTAATCAGATATTCTAAAAATTCTAAAACATAAATTGACAGATGTCAGATGAGTTTGTGTCAATCAAAAATGTTCAAAATACACTTTTTGGTCGGCTGAACTGTAGACTCTCACTGGCTTCAAATCCAGAATTATCATCAAACTTTACTACAAACTGTGACATCTTGCATTCAGATTTTGGCTCAATGACAACCTAATATCAGTAACAATTGCTTTGTCAAAGTCTAAATTCCTTTAAAACCAAACATAATAATCAAATTAAATAAAAAACTAACCTCATCATCTGTAAATCTATCACCCATAGTTGTTAATAATTCACGTAACCTTTCTTCAGGTATAATACCTACAAATATATTGTCATATACTGGTATAAATGCTTATGAGAAACTAATTACTGTTAGTTAAACCAATAGTCACAATAGTGTAGAGTACTGCAAGTTCTGCAGGTCGTGTTAACTTATATCAACTCTCACAAACTCAATTTCAAGAAAGTTAAGCTGATTTTAAGCTATCAGTCTCCTCTTCATTTTACACTGGCTTATTTATGGGGAAATGTATTGATTTTTATATCATTACCTGTGCCGTCTTCATCAAAACAGGCAAATGCATTTTTTATGACATCCTCAGGATCTGTTCCATTTAATTTTTCTCCGAACATTGTTAAAAACATAGTAAAATTAATAGGACCTGGAGCAGCATTCATCATTTCATCTAAATACTGATCTGTTGGATCTTTACCTATAATTATATAATTTTATTGTCACATGAACTTTGAGCTACTGAAAGTGGATAATGCCAAGCAGTGTACACTAAGACAAAATTTGTCTGTTAGAAGAGCTCACCACAATATTACGATATTACGGACAATATTAGTATTATTACTATTATAGATTATGATCATCCCAGGCCTGATTATAACTGGGTTAAAAATTTTTTATCCCATGCCAAAACTGAACACCAGACAATTACATTGCTTTATGTGTATGCTGGTGTAATTCTCTTCTTTCTACTACCAATTTGAACATCAATAATTTAATACTGGTGGCATTACGTGCTTCACTCTGTTCTTCATCAAGTGATCTAAGAAAACAGGTAAGCTTACTGCCATATTGATTTTTATTTTTTTACAGCAGAACTTACCTAAGGAAGCCAACATGTCATGTAAATCTTCTTTATCAACAAATCCATCTCTATTCTGATCTATCATATTAAATGCTTCTTTAAATTCTTGAATTTGAGACTGATCAAACATAGCGAACACATTTGAGGTAGCTCTCTGAGCACGTTTCTTGGTGGTCTTTCCTTTGGTTTTACGGCTCGACATTTTGATATCTAATAAAATAAAGTCAAGAATTGAAAATTTAAGATAAAATATAGCAATCCTGGTGCCGAAATAGGTCAATTGAAGGGCAAAATTGTAAAAAGGTCAGGCCTAATTTTCACCCTAATAAAGATTTTATTATATTATTATTATTAATTGTCTTTAGATCGCATAGCAATCAAAGCTACACATTCGCAAAACAGACTTAGAGCTAGGATATCCAAGAAACAAGTGTTTGAAGTTAAGACAATACGACATCCTGGCATTAAGATCATTTCAAGAACAATATTCCTAAAATACAAATCAAACGTAACCAATCTTAGATTCTATAAAAATTAAGAATTTGATTAAGGACCTCTTATTCACAAAAAATAATGTCAACTTTTGAATTTAAATTCACATAAATTTGTTTATGAATCAACTAACTGTATAAGCTTATATATCCGCAGCTAATTGTTTGAAGTACTGTAATCAAGTTACATTCAAAACAACAATATCTACATTTTCATCAGATAGGTACATATTTCACATTCTTTTAACCCTACCATGTAGCCTATAGTATTGTTGTTAATGTGAATTCAAAATATGAAAAAAGGAAATTGGTGAATGGTATGACAATCATTCCAAGGCTAGTGAACATAAAATAAACCTTTATTATACTCATCAACAACAATCATTTTCCATATCACTCTACAATTGATTTATCAAGCACTATTTTAACAGTAATATTTCTATATCACTCTACAATTGATGTATTGAGCACTATTTTAACAATGGTATTTCTATATCGCTCTACAATTGATTTATCTAGCACTATTTTAACAGTGGTATTTCCATATCACTCTACAATTGATTTATCAAGCACTATTTTAACACTGGTATTTCTATATCTCCCAACAATTGATGTATTGAGCACTATTTTAACAGTGGTATTTCTATATCACTCTATAATTGATTTATCAAGCACTATTTTAACAATGGTATTTCTATATCGCTCTACAATTGATTTATCAAGCACTATTTTAACAATGGTATTTCTATATCGCTCTACAATTGATTTATCAAGCACTATTTTAACAATGGTATTTCTATATCTCCCAACAATTGATGTATTGAGCACTATTTTAAAAGTGGTATTTCTATATCGCTCTACAATTGATTTATCAAGCACTATTTTAACAATGAAAATATTTTATTATTATAAATAATTTGTATACGATTATCTTATCATTTAAAACTAAACAACAAACCACAATCAAAATTGTACAGGAAATCACCCCACTCCCAGTTTAAACTTTATATCATGTAATATTAATAATCATAGAAGAGACACAAAGGCTTTTACTTGATAAAGTCAAAGGATTGAACAACTCAAATGAGTCATCAGACTGATTAGCAAAACATGACATTCTTTAAATTCTCTATAACTTATAACCTCAAGTACATGCTTTACTTTTATGGTAAACTACAGTAGTAGGCCTATTAACTGTAACAAACAGGTTATTGTATTATATTTGTAATAGCCTAATAATGAGTATAGCCCACTAGCTGGCTGGTTGACAGGATTATAACAAATGACAAGCCAGCATAATTCTGAATTTTCATTTTGTCCACAAACAATTAACATTTGTTTCCTTTTCGTTGGGTCTGTAACCATTCAAACGAGATGATCTACCGTATCTAAAAGCGAAATATTATATAGCCTAGTTTGGAGGACCAGGCTTAGATGTAGAAAAGTTTCACAGGCTACTCGATTGGCTAGAAATAATGACAAACAGGGGTGTGACCTAAATTTTGTAAGGTGGTTGTCACGAAATTTACATCTAGAAAAGTACCTGCTCAATAACTAGAAATCCACTAAGCAATAGATACCCTACAACAAAATAATAAGTATATTTACGTGTTAGTGTCTTGATCTTTCAAAAAAATTAACGAACTAAAACTATTTTGTCAACCTAATTCACAGCTTTCCTGGGCTTGGGATGATTCAACTTCCACTTCCCTCTCAAAATTGCAACCGATTCAAGCGCTCCCATTTACTTCCGCCTAAGGTCACAACTACTGGTCGTTTAAATTTCACAACTAAAATTTACTAAAAAACAAAACGAATTAAATTTAATCTGATTAAATGTCCTATGATTTGATATAAATATTCAGTGCTTTAGATCAATTCAACTTTATTTTCTTTATTTAAAGGTTTATTTGAAATCTGAGTGTGTTCCTTGGTCACAACTAAAATGCTTAAGTCAATTTCGTTTTGTTATTATTCTTTTAATATTCTGTTTTTGTACACAGCTGTTTGACACGAGAGAAAATCGTCTGTCAGCCATCCCGACGCAGGAAATTCATTAATGTTGCTCTCATTCGTGAATGGTGAACTGGAACCAAAAAGATAGATTTTGTATTAAATCGTTTAAAATAAAGTTATTGTTCTATAGGTTGCAAATTTAATCCCAAATTCAACCGACCCAAATTCTTAATCTTTATAATCAAAGAAAGGTTTGATTATCAATTTGAAAATCAGAAGTACTTATTCGGCACTTCTTTATATATTTCGGTAGTAAAAAGTTGTTTCCGGAACTCTGAGTCGACTCGTCTTGTCCTTGCCGATATCCTCTCGCCACTGCAAAACAAGTTGGCTAGTTGACATGCGAAAACTCTGAAGGACGAAAAGAATATAGTAACTAAAATAAACAGATATGTCTTTGGGTTTAATTTCTCGCTCTGCTGCACGAGTAGCAAGATCTGTGTCTAAAACATCTTCGGTATCGCGGAATTATGCCACTGCCAACGCCATGTCCTTCACGTTTGCCTCTCCTTCAAACGTAAGTCCAACTTGATTTGTTAGTTCTATATCTGCTTAATCCATAGACCGGTGCCCCTTATTAACCTTATCTATGATCTTTACAAAGTAATGAAGGATTCCTGATTACCTCGAGTGGATACTGAAAATTTAGTGATCAGTGATCATTCAAAAGGCTAGTTCTACTTTGGTTTTGTCTGTCATTTTATAGGCTGCTAGTCTTCACATACACTCATACTAAAACTGATTTAAGTTTATGCAGTAACATTCTTTATTCAATTCACTAAAAATATGAAGTATAGAACATGCCTACCTGGAGCTCGAATACCGTGGAAAACAATATTCCATCATGATGTTATTGATTTAAATGCAAAGCCAAATAAAAGATGACATACTGAGATGCCAAGTTGATTCCAGTGAGATGTAGAGGGGCATTTAGAACTGTAACTATAAATATATAAGATTTTTCCATGTATTGATGTACTGTAATGTATTTGTAGGTGTACTATACTGAAGCTGAGGTGAAACAAGTAGATGTTCCTGGTATAACCTCTATGATGGGTATATTTGCTAATCATGTACCCTGTCTGTCAGTTTTAAAACCAGGAGTAGTTACTGTCACAGAAAGTGATAGTGTAGTCAAAAGGTTCTTCGGTAAGTTACAAAGAACTGTTGAGTGGACAATAAACTGATACCCTGGTTGCAGCCGGCTATGTATGTCAAATATTCCTTGAAAGATGGGAATTAAGAAATAGTAGCCAAAGCTAATGCTTCTGGCCTAGAAAAATTTCCCATATTTCACCCTGCATGTCATTGCCAATCTATTAAATGTGCATTAGAGTACAAAGTTATAATCCATTCCTTTCCGTTTCGATCATAATATGAAGTTAAAGATAGCAAGCAAAAATGTGTAATTGGTCAAGAACTAAATTCTTAACAAATTAAATTAAATGGTTTAAAGTTTGAACTTGTAAGAATGTGGTTATTTAAGATGTAGAAATGCGTTCTTCTGATAAGTTGATTATTGTGTTATCTAATCTTTTGTAGTAAGCAGTGGATCAGTTACTATCAATGATGATTCCTCAGTACAAGTTTTAGCAGAAGAGGCCCACCCCTTAGAAAATTTTGATGCAGGGGTAGGTATTTTTTTTTGGATATCTCTTGAAATTTCTACACACAAGAAAAGTAGAAATTTAGTACCGTATCATTTACTCCCCTTGATGCCAAATTTGTCTAGAAAAAGTTTTCTAGTAATTTTGTGATTTGAGTAATACTGTTCCTGGGTTTCTTTTCCATTGTGATTAGCTACAGATAGCTTGAATGGGCTCTATTAGCTGGGCAATGAGTTTTTTGTGTCCATTCACAGTGGATATATTAACTGAAATATCATTTGAGTTGATCCTACTACCAACTACCCTGAATACAAAAAACTAGCTAGTCTGTTCAGCTTAAGCTTGAAGCGAATATTAACTTGTCATCTACCAACAACTACCTGTGATATCACCATCCAATGGAACTGAATGTTAACTTGTCATCTACCAACAACTACCTAGTCTGTGATATCAGCTTCTGCCGGAAAAAGAGGTTAACATCTAACACCACCTAATATTGAGTTGTCTTTTTATATTTGTAGGCTGTACGAGATGGTTTAGCCAAGGCACAATCAGCAATGTCTTCAGCATCCACAGAACAACAAAAAGCAGAAGCCCAGATCGCTGTGGAGTGTTATGAAGCTTTATCTAAAGCAATTTAATCTGTATTAGGCCAATTTATAATAATTTAAGACTTTGTTGTAATGATAGAAATTATAGAATTTATCAAAAACTACATTTAATATTTATTTTTTTGAGATGACAACCCTGTACAGCAAATGTAAGCTATACTTTTCAAGGGGCTTTAAAGTGATTTTCAATTCAAAAGCATGGAACCGGTTGAAACAAAATGTTAAAAAAGCCTTCAGTACTGACGTGTTGTATTTCAAAATTACATTTCGAAAAATTACCTCCCATTGAACTTTGATCAAATTCCTTGGGTTGACGCTAAAATAACACCTGAAAGACCAGCTTGTCTCATCGAATTTCTATAAAAGGAGCTCTAGCGAACTTATCATATGGATATAAAAACTACAGCTAAAACTACTGTCTGTTAGCCAACTTGAAAGCAGCGTATTAAAGATGCCCCTCCCCCCTTTTTTTGGGGCCCTAAATAATGAAATAAATTATTCTACTGTCACTTCCAAAATCGCGCAAGATGTATTCTCCGCCTTCCTACATAAGAGAAATTTCCCAGATGATGTTTCTCTGACCCTCCACCCCCAATGATATCTTCGCCACGCCACTGCTACCGGTCACGGTCACGGACAGTTTTTTATGCGTCTATAATGTACTAGGATTTGACTTTCTTAGCAACCTACAATGGAACGATTCTGCAATATTTACGCCTAAGGCACCTGAAATGTATTAATTGGGTTGTTTCCACAACAAGAAAAACTAAGGACATTCTTAACTATTTTAAATGATCTCATATCAACAAAGACACGAGAATGAGAATATGGGCAAATTAAAAGAGGTATCGCCTGATTTGCAAAAGATACTTTGGAATACCGATAAAAAGTCAGACTTTCTACTGACAAAAACTACAGAGTATTTGAGCGTCTGAAGATTACCAAAACAATTATATTTTGCTCATATATAAAGAACTTCTAACACTTACGCATCTTTGCTCAAAGCCGAAACAATGCCATACTGATTGCATAAACTATAAAAGAAATTAATTAATGAATTAATTGATGTGTTTGGATGAGAATTCTTTTATTGCACAACAAGAGTTGTAAAAAGATACTAGAGGTTATCTGGATGTAAGCAAATAGAATTTTATTGACGACTTGTCTTATTACATAGATGATAGACAACAGAATTATTTGAGGCATCGTTGACATCGCATTGAAATTTCTTGAATACATATCAAAGAATGAAAATTAAATGATGAAATTGATTAGAAATAAATTACGATATTTATCCGTAAACATTGATACTGATCCAATTATCACTTAAAGGAATCGTCCAAGAGAGAGATGCTAAAATATTTATCTCTGCTGGATGTGGAACGGTGCACCCCCCACCCTAAAAAAAACCCACACATATCGAAAAAACAGAACAATTAATTCTAATGCGATCTCCGGTGCTTCCGAAAGTCGACCAGGTGTCAGTTTTTAGTCCCTGTCACACAAAGTATTAGACCTATATGTACAGATAACCATCTTCAGGTTAGTATGTAATTGCAGAAATTTGATTAAATTGTATGCTAGTGAATACAACCAATAAAAGCCCTCTACAAAAAGTACAAATATCGAGGGCTCCCATTGGCTGTATTCCAATCAAATTGCTGACCATGAAACAAGAAAATGAGCCATCGCAGGTCAAGGTATGAGATGAAAACGTAATACCTTGACCATTTTGTGAAGATGGCAGAAAATAGAATTTTCAGAAAGCACTAAAAGATGGTTAGTTAAAAAGCCACGATTTGCCATTTTCGGGGGTTGATTTTGGTTCTTGAATACATCCATGTTATGTAAATAGGAGTAATAGAACTGCACGAAAATGGCATTATCCTATCAAATTTACCTCAAATCAAACTAGAAATTTCACATACATTTTGATAAACATCTTTTGTATGGCGTAGTGCTAAGAAAAGACGAGTCGTCATTTTAATTTACAAACTCAAGACTCAAATTTCGACGGTGGCCCGTGAACACTAATTACAAATCAGTTAGCTAAATAGTTCCCGTTTCTGAGACTTAGGTACGATTGGTCAAATGGATGGCGCATCTGTCGCTTTAAAGGTAAACCTAGCGCTCCAGTCTATTAAATTGAGCAGAATGATTTGTGGTGTAGTAGGACCCTTAATTTATTGTTTGTTTTAATTATCAATTTCAATATGTAGAAGTGTAAAGACCATGCTGGAATCTAATAATTACACTAATATTATACAATGGTATGCAATCTATTCATATTCCTACAATTTCTTTTTTTTTTCAACAGCCTAGACTAGTCACGGTTTTAAAATCGATTTGGGTCTGTAATCCATTATTCGATTAGTTTTATCAACATGGAGTTTTCTTATCAAAATATTAGAGAAAGAAAAGAAAATACGGGGCACCTATAAAAAGCGGAATTCTAAATATCATTACAAGAACATCTTGTCACCGCCGCCATGAACGGAAATTGTAAGTAAAAGTATTATTTTATATAATATTGATATAATCTATAATTCTCAATACTAAATACTTCCTCATTTATAATTGATATACTTCCTCGTATGAAAAGTACATTTTCTGCTACCAATGTATTGCTAAACTGTTATTTTGGATTTCGCGTTTCGTAGTGCGGTTTGAAGAAGATTTTATTGGAACAGGAGATAAATGGGAAGTATGTAAAATATTCAAAAACATAGTAATTCATTATTCCAATATGTCACGTAATTCTTAGTATCTATTTGATCGACCCGACTTGGTTATTTAATAAGTCAATAAAAGGGTTGATTTAAGTATAAGAATTGTTCAGCATGGGCATTATATCGGTTTATTCCTGTATAGCCCCTTTCCATATCGCCCCCAATCTATCCCATTTTGCCCCTTCCCGATTCGTTCCCTTTACATTTTGCTCTTTCCCATTCTGCTCCTTCGCATTTCGACCCCTATTCCCACTTCATCCCGTTTCCAGTTCGCCTCTTACCAATTCGCCACTTTTCCATTTTTCATTGCATTTAAAAGAGGTGGGACAGTGTGATAGTATATTAAATATGGAAAAAAGGCAATTAGATATATAATCAGAAAACAAAATATACTAAGTGGTCAAACATTTACATATAATTCCAAATTGTTTTCTGAATTGAATTTTGGCAATTCTTTCCACATGAATTATCAACTACTGAGAGTCTTGGATTGCCTCTGAGTTGATAAAAATGTTAGAAATGTTATTTTACAGAGGGGAATGTTCAGTCCAACAAGTAAGTTATTTTCACTTGAACTTTCTAGGAGGGAAATCTATTTGAAATGTAAAATCACTGAACCTTATATTTCTATGGACCAGAAGACATTCTAAGACAAATGGCTTAAAGTCGAAAATTTTCTTATGAATTTTTAATGAAATGAGAGAAAAAAATTTAATTCAAAGCTCAATGTAGTCAGACAGTAATTGTATATAGTTTTAACTTTCTGTGTTTTGAAGTTTTGCCTTTACAACTCCATTCCAGTCCATCCTTTATCAAATTCTAACTGTCTACCAAAATGGAAACGGAACCGGAATTCAAACCTGGAGCATGCATAACTTTTAGAAAGAAGTGCGAAATGAAAAGCGGCAAAATGGGAAGAGATAGAATGGGTAGGGGGCGAATCGGAAAAGGGAGATATGGGAAAAGAATGAAATTGACAGGGGGGATGTGGATAAATGGGAGAAAAGGAGAAGGGTCTGATGGGGATAACTTAGGGACAAAATGGGAAGGGCGAAAATACAGGAATGGACTTAATTCTCTCCAGTCTGGTCTATTCAGCGACTTACCAATTTAAAAAAAAACAAACGGTCCCTTCAAAGCCTCAAAGCCTCAGTGGATGGCTAATTTCTCGAGCAATCGTCTGGATAGCAAGCATGCCATTCTTTGTGACCGGCCAGATCAGGCCAATTGAACAAACACAATTTTAGGTGAAATGGGGGTATAAGAAAGCATTGATATCTGAATTTCATTTGGTTATAAATTTTGTCATACAAAAAATCCTACTGCAAATCTTTCCACCATTGGCTGTTCACCAAAAGATTGAATCCGTATTGCCACTTGAATATTTCAGGTTTCCAGCTTGTTGTATTGGTTTCTATTACAATAACGAATGTTCTTACAGGTAAGGTTTGATTTATCTATAAGTCACATTCAGTTCATAGTTCTAATCAAATAACTCGATTTAAAGAAGAGCCAACCATCCGAATCAAACTGAAGTCGGGCTCTCTCATTTGAAAAACATTTCCTTACTATACTAACCTCTTCTTATGGTCATATATACCCTTCCCATTTAAAGGTACAGCTTCGTCAATTTTTTGTTTTGACCAATCGCACCGTAGACTCTGAAACGAATTTATTTTTAGCTAAGCTAATCAGTAATGTTGTTCATAGCAAGCTTGGTGTATTTTTGAAGGAATGGTGCCATTTTCGTATATTTCTAAAACGTTTGAAGACAATTTACATATATGTGAAACCGCCGTTAATCCAGCAACCCCGATATTTTCTTTTTTACTTACTTTTTACTGGGAACGGAATATTTACTATGTAAAAGTAACCGTTAATCCGGTGCTCCGGTTTCCGTTTCCGCACGGCTGTGATTGGGAACCAATTTTCAAATTCTATAGTAATTAGTATACATCATCCGGTCGCTTGTCACTGTGAGTTCTTCTAACTGGCTTCCGGATTAGCAGATTTCAATACCCAAATTGACACCCGAAAATGCCAAATCTATTAATTTAATACCCTTCCCATTTAGTATTAGTGGTAAAACGACAGGACATATTTGTAAATCGACTTCATTGCCTTTCGCGGGTTTGTAAAAAAATATCTTTTATCTCTTTATATATTTTAACATGTTACGGAATATTGGGTTCAATATCACACGACCAACTCCCTTTAACGACATTAGATTTACTATTGAATTTTAATTACCTTCAAAAACCACCTCAATATTAAATTTTTTTAATTTTTGCAGATTTTACCTGTGTCGAGTCTGGAGATTATTGTTTTTGGCTTTCAAAATCAACCGAAACGTCTTGGGAGAGTAATGTAGATTGTCAACTGCATGGTGGATTTCTTATCAATACAATTTCAGAGATAGATATTACAGAAAATCTTCAATGTACCCTTCCGTTTCCTCATAAGTAAGATCATTTATTTTTCTTTTCCCATTGCAGTCCATTCGAAATTGTATTTATTATACCAAGCGCACGCATTTTTGAATGTTCAGCCTATTAGCTTGTCTTCAATGTCTCGATATCAGTCCATACTGTAAATCATGAAATTTCTACATCATATTATAAATCAAGTTCTGTTGTCCTATGACATGGGCGTAGGTTGGTTTTCAAAACTAACTGATCAAACCAGAAGCAATAAATTCGATTTTCTATCTTTCAACTCCGTACGGAGTCTCATCAATAAAATATAGGTTAAATGGCACATTTCAAAGTTTCATAAATACATTGTATTCTGAAGTAAACTCAACATGCCTCTTGTGACTTTTGTATTAGTCAATGCTCGGAAAAAACCCCCAACTAGAACAGAACAGAACAGAACAGAACAGAACAGAACTGTAAATCTGAATTATCGCCAAATTTAAAGCAATTTTAATTCCCAAAGTTAACCATGTTTTGTTTATTGTGGTTTTATTGATATCCTTGACACGTTGCTAGAGTTGTGATCATTTCATTTCATTCTTTGAATCATGTAGTAACTTCTTTCTTACAACACAAGGATGTGGTTTGGATGGTACAAGCTCACGAATGGTAGATACATTTCTTCAACGGGTGTTGAGAGATTAGACACCCAATATAGAAATCCTCCTAATGAAAACGACCTTTGCTTTACTTATGAAAATAGACAGATCAATCTTTACACGTGTGAAAAACAGCATCTCCGCGGTCTGTGTTTTAAACCAATTGGTAAGTAGCTAGACATGTGAAACAAATGACCATTCCGAATTTTATTAGAAACCTTTAGTTTCGTTTTACAAGTCGTTTTTATACAGTTGGGCACGATGCGGCAAGTTGAGCAATGTGGCAAAACGAACCCACCGCCTATTCGTCTATCTCGACCGAGGAACGGATAGGGTCACATTTATATGGCTACTGTCACAACCGCTCGGCAGAGTAAGTTTTAAACACTTTGAAGGGCACAATCCCTTGCGGATTTTCTCGAATCCTGACAACTTTCAAAACCTTCCGAAGTGTAGAAAATTCGAAAAATATTGTTATTGGTTAAAATTACACTCCTGTGCCACCAATATGAAATGTACGACTGTATAGAATTACTGTCCTTTGGTGATAGTTAAATAACGGAACACAATTTTATGGTATACTGTTTGTGTTCCGGTATTTAATGTGATCTCTACCCCTAAATGCCGCTAAAGGATTATTGGTGATAGTTGTTCCTTTAAATGTCACATTACAAGCTATTACAAGTGTGTGTGTATTATATTACCCTCCTTAAACATAGACTGACTTTGAGGTTTTCAATATTTTAAGATCTGCGTATCTTCTTACAGACGTCAGCAAGTGCCTTGGTCAAAAGATAAATGGAAACTGCTATTGGTTGTCAACAGATGAATTCAAGAAAGATCTTGAGGCCCAATCAGCATGCGAGAATGGTTATGGAGTTTTAGCTGATTTTGGGAAAAGCCAGGAAAATGATACATGGGCAGAACTTTTATATCATTTTAATTATAAAATGAGGTAAAAATTTTCTGTACACTAGAAATTTTGAGGTGGCTCTTGACTTCAGCACGGAAAGGAAAAATGGGTTGTAAATTTATGTTAGGAATGCCAATCCATATGGATTATTGAAATCGATAGTAAAGTTTGTGTACTTAGTTCTCTAAGATATCCTAGTATACAGACTACAAACCAGATAACCCTCCGCTGATCTATGAGTGGATCCAAAACAGACTTCTAGGATTGTAAACTAGGAATGAAATCTTTAATATTTTATTTTGGCATCTTTGATATATTTCAAAATAAAATCTTTTTCGTGAAATTTTGAAATATATTTAAAAAAGAATAAAAAAAGTTTTAAAATATATCAAATACTTTAAGCTACGTGGACTGTCCGAAAAGACTGTCGAGTTGACAAAATCTAAGAGTTGCATTAGATATTCTGCACAGATGAGTTTGCCCCTTTCTCACTAGCAACACACAGACACGTAGTTGATCTGAACAATCCGTATCTTATTCCAATGATTAATACTTAATACCAAGACATGGTGCCTATCATTATATTTCAGAGGGTACAGGGGAATATGGTTGGGCTATCATGATAATCCTTGGTATGATATGTTAGGAAATAAACTTGATGTAAGCCATTGGAAGCACGATTATCCAAAAAATGAAAAATGTGTTGTGTCTTATCTCCACGAAAATGGTTTATTGAAAGACAAAAACTGTGGAGAAAGCCGAAAAGGACTATGTGTGAAGCATACTTTATATCCAGGTGAAGTTAAAATACATATTTTGGAATTTGGAGAGAGATTGTAAAGAGGTTTTCTTAAATTTTTATATGTATCGAGGACACATCAATGTGCATCATTCAAATTTTCAATCAGACGTCTATGGAGTGTCTGTTTTGATGACGGCAAAGGGTCTTGTATTTTGCGATTAGTGATGGTTTTAGTGGAATTGTAGTAGCCAAAGACGTCTGATTGTAAATTGGAATGGTTCAAATTGATACTATCAGTGTCCCCGATACTCATGATTATATTTCGAAAACCTTTTTACAATCCCTTTAAGCTCATCCGAACAGAAAGAAAGGAAAAGTCTTTGGCTTTAAAAGATATTACGAACGCATAATTTCACTTCAGTTTTCTCTCTGATGCAGCATAGATGTGACATTTTCATAAGTAAACAAGACTTTATTCATAGATTTGTCTAATTTGCATAACATCCGCCTAGAGTGAGCATGTATCTAGCTACAAATTTGAAGATACCTAAATGAGATAAAGAGATACACCTAAAAGTTTTGTGTTATCTACGGGTTCCCTTGCCTTCTTTTATTATCCTGTACTCATTATGTTGTTATTACACAAAAACAACAAAATAATGTCTGCATCAAGACACATACGTAAAGATATGAATGGTTTCTTTCAGGCGAATGTGTTTTTCATGTGAACGATAAGTGTTATTTCCTAACAGACCCTAGAAAGTCGTATGTCGCTGAGGTAGAATGTAGGAATAAGAATGCAACGCTGGTGAACATAACAGATGCCTTACAATGGGAAATACTAAGCACCGAATTACGGTTTGAAAAACATACCTTTCTGTAATCTGTAAACTACGGTACCTCAGGCAGGTTGGAGCTCGCTTGCTAACCCGAGGAACTGGGGATTTATCCTAATTAATTGCCTTTATTATGACTGAATTAAGCAAAATCTGATTAAAGAAAAATATTTAATATTGACCTGAACTGAACTGAGCGATTGACAAAAATTGATCTTGTTGCACATCTTAACAAGCCCATTTAAATAGAGTCGTTTCATTATTCAAACTGCTGTACAACCAAAAGTTATGTTATGTATGTTAACGAAGGCAGAGGAAATCATAGTCATACCTGAACTCACCTGAAAGTGGTGATAGAATCATTATCATAAAATACATTTGCTGAAAGTAGGTCAGTTGTCTGAAGATCACATAGCGTGACCCTCTGAGTAACAACATGATTCAATATTTAATATTTCTAATAAGATACATATATATATATATAAACTAGATTGATATTTCTTTTTTGTTTTTTAATATTTTTTTCGTCTCCATTGCAAATCGAACAAGTTTTCTACCAAGGCCTGTCCTCGTGGCGTTATTTTGAACTAATCAAAGCGTGTCTACATGTCACGCTTTGATTGGTTAAAACAGCATCTTTGGTACTAGCCCTCGGTGGAATTAGTTAAATTACAATGGAGTATTAAAATAACAGAAAAAAAGAAACGGCGTTGTCAGAGATCTGGACGGGAATAACCAAAAATCCAAGAATATGGTCGTCTTATGATGGGGATCCGATTCTTTGGACCAACTGGATGTCTGGTTCAGAACCATCTAAGTCGCATCATTGTGTAGTGATTAATAAAGACTTTGAATGGAAGGTAAAAAATTGTGATGAGGACCACGACGGATTGTGTAGATGCCGTAAGCGTAGAACAGGAGGAACTGTAGAATGTGAGTATAAATATTTACTGTAAACACTTCATGCAAAGATGGTCTCTAATGGGTCGCAGATAATTCAAAATCACTAAATTGTTGTTAAGAAACATTATTATCCTCCAAACATTTTGCCTAGACGAAATAAAAAAAAATTCTCAAATTAAGGCCAATGCTTTATTTCAAAATATCTTTGGGATCTGATCATAGAGTAATTTTGGACTCCCTCTAGAAAAGTCGTGTGAACAAGGCGACTGAAATGCCCTCTTCTCAAATCACATTTTCAATTTTTGATTTTGGTTTCAAAATATTTTAGATGAGTGTTCAGGTACTGGCAGCAAGACATTTTGTATTGAGGAAAAGTCAGGAGAATATTGCTATTGGTTGGAAGATGAAAACAAAGAAAAAGCACATAAACTGCAGCAAGCATGTAGAAAAAGAACAAATGGACAGTTAGCTACTATTTCTGATGAACACATTAATCAAAATGTGACCAGTCATTTTAAAAGCAGAATAAAGTAAGATATCCTTTTGAATTTTATTCACTTAACTAATTTATATACCTGAAAATGAGAATGATTTGGTATTGTTCTTCCAAGCGAAAGTTAATCACCCATATTTCGGGGAGATATATTTGACTGCGAATCTGTAATAATGAAATATATTATGATTGAAATTTGCATTTTTTTTCACCAAAAGTTTCATATTTGTCTTGCGATAATACAACTTTATATGGTATTTCTTACGCTTATGGCGACAATAAAGAATTTGTTGATGCACAAAACCAACAGGTAAAGATTTGACCTCGTATTAGTCAATTGCAGATTTTGGTTTTACATTTTCGTTTGGTCAGTTCCTGGATGGCGCCTGTATAAACTTGAATAAAGAAAGTTTTTGCACTCGTGCCAGACCATTACAAACATTTTATATCGTTTCCAATTATAGCGCTAGGACAACTTGGAAGTGATGACTTTTTCAAGACAACAAATCAATTTTCATTCTCAAAATAGAGACAAATAGAATAAATTTATTCTCAGAACTGTGCCTTTACTTTGTTTTTCCTTCAGTAAAGATACATTTGTATGGATTGGTGTAACTAATAGACTTTGGTATACGAATGATGGTGGTGTAATTAGAAACGAGGATATCATATGGGATGATGACAACATAAGTCCAGACAAACATTGTGCTGTAGTCAAAGTTGGGTCTGGTTTCAGAGTCGATAAATGTAAAGATGACAAACATGCATTTTATGGCATATGTGAGAGTACAGGTAATCAACTTGATAATAGTCAATAATTTCTGAATTTGGTATCTCAACCGTCACAACTGGTAATGAAAAAATTATTTACCTTGATAATGAAGATTAGCTTCGAGGAAATCGTAAGAGGACAGATCTCTAGAGTCGAAGCCAAAACGAATTTTGCTTTGAAAAAGAAGCAATGCATAAAAAACTCATTATTGACTAAATATTGAGCATTGGTCTATTTTATCTTTCATTGGACAGATTATACCACCTAGCAATGTTGTTTTTTAAATTTCATGTTGGTAGATTAAACCTGTCCTATTTTGAATTTTTAACGGTCAGATAGAACAACCTAACCATGTTCTATTTCATGTTATATGGTTAGATTGACCTATTCTATATTTTATACGGTTATAGTAAACAACCTAGCCTTGGTCTATTTCATATTTTATATGGTTAGATAGAACATCCTACCCTACCATCTGTAACCTAATCATTTTAAATTGTAAAGGAAGCAAAACAACCACCACATGTTCAGATAGCAACTGCTATTGGAAAACTAATGGGAAGCATAAAAAGAAAATCGATGCTGAATGGGAATGTAGAAATGGCGGTGGTAAATTGTTTATACCAAAACTAAGATATGATACAAATAATAATGTAATAATTGTAGATACAGTATCAAAGTAAGTATCAAAACACAAAAACTCCAAATTCATACCTTTTGATAACATAAAGCTAAATTTTAGTCTGTGATGCAACATTACCAATTGTATTGGATCTAACTCTAAATAAGTTAAACTTACCACTTCTTAACTCAACCTGTTCTCCCGTCGGATTGGATTTACAGCCAAGGATCTATATTCGGCAGTTTCGAAATTCCGATATTGAATGACTGGTACATGTAATAGCAGAGATATTTGACCAAAATCAATCAAATTTCGTGGAGTTTGGAAGTCGTAACAATTCGGATTACTGATAAAAGATTTTGCTATCTTACCTTCCCACCTTATATTTACAGTTCTCCGGACGATACTAAGTATTGGACTGGTATGACAGATAAAGTAAGAGTATGGTATAACCGTAGAGATAGTGACATACAGCACTGGTTTAAATGGAACGAGGGTGAACCTGATGACGGAAGCTGTGTAATAATAAAACCTGAAGATGATTTCCAATGGTCAACTACAAAATGTCAAGGAAATAAAAATTATCCAGCCCTCTGTATGAAGTTTTCCAATTCAAAAGGTATGTAGAAATTTTAATTTGAAAAATGACGGGACAGCCAGAATTAACATCAATCCGCATGAGATATGCAGAGGTGGAGCCAGGTTTACGTCCGAGAGGGGGCGAGGCGAGATATCTGAGATCGCCCGAATCTTTAACCTAGTTGTGAGATTTTTGCCCGAAAAACTTTCGGGGCTGCGAAGAGGTGGGACTGCCCCTAAAAACAGAGTCATTTTTTGAGTACAATTTTTACTATGCGACTGTTTTCAATATTGAGTCTGAAATTAGAAGGCAATTTTTATGCCGGGTGAGGTTTTCGTTATTCGTTAGGTCTTGTGCCAGACTCGAAAACTAATTCACTCTTTTTCTTAAGTGTAAGGGCAAGTTGTCGCTGTATGTTGGGGTGTGTTATCCCAATCTAAGAAGCTTATAGGAAAGTGTCTGCTTTCGTGATATTTGTAGATTCTTTCTTTCTTCAGAAAGTGGTAAGTCTACAATACCTGGAAGTAGTGACAGAACAAATACTCAGTCGTGCAAAGAAACTACACAGGCGCAAACAGATGCTGCGACACAAACGTCAGAAAGTACTAAAGAACATGTATATACCACTCAACCAACTATAGAAAGCACAACCGAACGAACACGTATTCCTCATCAATCAAGCACAGATAGTACAACTGAGCTAACCGAAATCACAACGACAGAACAATCTACAGAAAGTACAACTGAGTTAGCCGACATCACAACAACAGAAACATCAAGAGATAGTACGACTGAGCTAACCGGCAGTACAACAGCAGAAAAATTAACAGAAAGTACAACTGAACTAGCCGACAGTGCAACAACAGAAAAATCAACAGAAAGTACAACTGAGTTAGCCGGCATCACAACGACAGAAAAATCAACAGATAGTACAACTGAGCTAATCGACATCACAGCAACAGAAACATCAACAGACAGTACAACTGAGCTAGACGACATCACAGCAACAGAAACATCAACAGACATTGCAACTGAGCTAGACGACATGACAACGACAGAAACATCAACAGAAAGTACACCTGAATTAGACAACATCACAACAACAGAAAGTACAACTGAGCTAGACGACATGACAACGACAGAAACATCAACAGAAAGTACACCTGAATTAGACAACATCACAACAACAGAAAATACAACTGAGCTAGACGACATGACAACGACAGAAACATCAACAGAAAATACACCTGAAGTAGACAACATCACAACAACAGAAAGTACAACTGAGCTAACCAACACCTCAAAAACAAAAACATCAACAGAAAGTACAACTGAGCTAACCGACATCACAACAACAGAACAATCAACAGAAAGTACAACTGAGCTAACTGACATCACACCGACAGAACAATCAACAGAAAGTACAACTGAGCTAACCGGCAGCACAGGAACAGAAACATCAACAGACAGTACAACTGAGCTAACAGACAGCACAAGAACAGAAACATCAACAGACAGTACAACTGAGCTAACCGGCAGCACAACAGCAGAAAAATCAACAGACAGTACAACTGAGCTATCTGACATGACAACGACAGAACAAGCTACAGAAAGTACAACTAACAACACAACGACAAAACTGAAAACAGAAAGTGCAAAAGAACTAGCCGAAACAACAACAACTGAAAAATCAATAGAGAGTACAACTGAGCTAGCCGAAACTACTACGACAGAAAAATCAACAGAAAGTACAACTGAATTAGACGACATCACAACAACAGAAAGTACAACTGAGCTAACCAACACCGCAAAAACAGAAACATCAACAGAAAGTACAACTGAGCTAACCCACATCACTCTGACAGTACAATCAACAGATAG